CTTTTGTGTCCCCCAGAGCCCCTTCCCCTCCAGATGAGCAGGAGGAAGGTGGGATGTTGTTCCCCGTTTCACTCTGGAGTGTTTTCCCCCTTTCCCCACAGCCCCGGTGCCGGCGGGAAGCTCAGCCCCCTCCCCTGTACATACTCCTGTCGTGTGGGAATTGCTGGTGTTTGTCGGTGTGTCCGTGTCTGCCGTAGAACAGGTTTTGCTGTCCCCTTTCTCACAGGCGGGCGCGCGCTGCTCTGCTCTTGTGTTGTTCTGAGTCACGGACCTGGGGGGAGGGAGGGGGGAAACCCGAAGTAACCGGGGGGTGGTAACTAGTGAAATAAAATAGTTCACTTCCCACTGTCTTCTCTATGGATGTGTATAATATTGAGTGTGTGTCTGGCCCTGCTGTCTTCTAGCTGTTAGCCCAGTAAGTGACTATTAATATGATTATGGACTGTCTGACCACAGCCGTGTATCACACTAAATAAAGTTATTTCACCAACACCTTTGCTGTCCTGCTGCCAGAGGGGGGGCCCTGGGCTGCCTCTCTAGATTTTTCTCATAGGTTTAACAAGTCTGTCCCTTCTTCCTTCTGGAAGAAGGACGAGTTTACTGGGTTTAAGTGCAGCTTTGGGAGCGGAACGAGGAGAGAAGGGCTTTAAATGGACAGTGTCCTCCTCGTGCCGGGCCAAGACGCATGTCACCGGTCTGGGGGCACTACAGGAGCACGGGTGGTCCCAGCTTGTCTCCCTTGAGGGACTGTGATGGGATCTCCTTGTCCCTTGGGGCACAAGGTGTTTTGGGAACCCCGAGGCAGCGTTCAGCCTTGCTGGCCACGAGGTGCTGTCCTCCTGCAGGCACCCGCCAGGGAGGGAAGAGCCTGTCCTTGGGCCATCGGCACTTCCCACAGCTGGGCGGACACCGCGAGTGATGTGCTGCACGAGGTCGAGTATCTGAAAGTGGGACATGGATGCGTGTGACATCACCCAGCTGGCTGTCACCGCCGAGGTGGGCTCCTGTGCCTGTGAGTGGGGGCCAAGAGGGGCAGGGGATGGGACTGGCTCTCTTCCACTGAAGCCTTGGCTTGTGTTAGAGGGCCCACCCTGTGCAGGCTGCCTGGCAGGAGAGAGGGAGGTTCAGGGTACAGGGCACCCTTTGGGACCTCTGCTGGAAGAGGCAGTTCATGCCGCTTGGGCTGGGAAGGGGTAGGGTCGGTGCTGCTCAAAGGAGATGAGGAGATCACGAGATGAACAAGGACACTCGGGCCAAGCAGAAGCCTCTAGAACCCCACATGCTGTTCAGGCGGGTAAAATAACTTTCCCTCCTCATTTCGGACAGTGCCTGAGCTCTTGAAGAACCAGGAGGTGGTGATACTGATCCTGGATGCCTATTGCACCGTTATCAACCTGTCAAGCACCTGGTGAGTGAGGAGCAGGCTGTTCCCCTGCCCGGGGAACTAAAACTGCTCCAAGGCTCATGACTCTTGGTCTCTATTCTGCAAGTCACTAAAACCAAAAACAATAATCCAGTGTTGCTGGACTTGTTTTCC